TGAAGGGCTCACGTTCACAGCACGGGCCCAAGAAGGCGAGTCCCATTCTCATAGGAGGCCTGGCATCGTGGGCACAGTGTCTGGCCTCTCTACCCCCATCTCCTATGAAAGCTAAGTGAGATGCTCCTAGAAATCCTAACAAAACAGGAAGCTAGGCAAGGCTGGCACCGTCAGGAGACGGAACACTCAAGGGGTGTTCTGACCTTCACAGTCTGACCTTCACAGAACTGCAGGTTTAGAGGGAAAGATCAATGTCAGAGGATTAATAGTTTCAGTTATGTCTGAAAATAATTTAAAGCCTTGGGCAGAACAGCCCCAAAGGCAGCCCTTCAAAGCTGGAGGAAGACAATGCACCTTTGGGCCTCAAGGACAAGGAAATAAAGGGTTAGGTGCTAACCCGGTCTGGGATTCACAGAAGCAAAAGCCTGGAATCTCCTGATCCCTCCCTTACTTTTGGGCGGTAGGCCTACAGGGTGAGGTGCTGACGCCACCTTCCACAGGTCCCAGAAATGGCTCTGTTCACAGGTTCCCCCATAGGACCAACCACCATTACAGCATTGGCTACTGGCTACTGTCTTCTGAACAGGAGATAGAAACTGAAAAACCAGAGGCCTTGCCACGTATCTACCATGTACCTGGTGAGGATTCATAGCTGCTCCGCGGCTGGGAGAGTTGAAGAAGTCCCAGTCACCTCTGCCCTCAAGACAACCCTCATGTTCTCAGTACTTAAAACACACCTCATGTCACAGAGTCCTTCTGTCGTCTACCTCAGTATTCTCTACAGAAAACAGTGACAGAGGAGATGCTTAATAAAATTTGTGTCTTTTTTTTAAGTTTTAAAATCTGGTTCTCAAGGAATTGTACACTAGTGAAGAGTAGTGTAAAGTAGTGGTGGCAGGGACAGCCTTGCAGTTTAGGCATCTACCGACTGCTCCTGAGCCCATCTATCCCTCTGTGATCTCCTTTCCCAGTCGGCCTGTATCTTTTTTTTTTTTTGAAACTGGATCCATTTCTGTATTTATTTTGGGTTTAACCTTTAAGATTTTTCCAGTGTGTCACAGAGACCTTCCAAGGGCATGTGTGTCTTGCCCCCAGAAGTCCGTGTTACAATTTTAAAACTTTTTCTCAGGACAAATGAAAAAGAATCAGGTAACCAGGACTTTCTCAGTCCTACTTACCTGCAGAAGTTTCTGGCCCCAAACTGGTTCTGACTCTAGCAGACAGTACATGGTGTTGTCGTTCTAGAATATGGCAAGGACAGCACACTCTACCTACTTTCTTTCTGCTCCATCAGCAGTAAGACTAAAAGCAAAAGATGAATCCAGACTTAAAAAGTAGTGTGTGACTATGAGATGACAGAAACAGTTGTCTTCAGAGTGCAACTTTCCTGAAAGCAATGGATGAAAGCCTCCTCTCCTATCCAGAGTGACTTACATAATACACAGTATTTAATAAACTTCAAATACCGGTGACTTTGAAAGTAAGCTGGATGGTCACTTCTAAAAATGTTAATGATCTTCTTAGAAATCAGATGTTTGCTGCACAGGGTCATGCTTTCATCTCTAAAAACAAGGCAGTATTTGAGGTTTTCAGTCCTATTACCTGATCCAATCAATTTCTATTTTTAAAAGGGGGGGGGGATCTGATGGCAAACAAGTACCTTCAATTTAGAGATGAGAATTCAGAAGGGGTACCAGACCACAACTGAAGCTGGGGCAGAGCTAGAAATGTGGCTCAACTCCTTTTCAATGTCACGTCTGTTTCCTGGGTCTTTCTTCTTCTGGGTTCCAGTGGGCAAACTGGAAAACATATCCAGTTGTTTCACACAGGCTTCCACTAGCTAGACACACCATCCCTGCTGAAGTGAGATCTCCTGGCTGATCCATGGAGGCTGAGATGAGGATCTTGCGATACACAGTTCTTGGTGCTTCATCTGGGAGCCCAAGAGGAGACAAGCAGCAGCGAGTCTTTGCTCTGGTTCCTGGCCTCCCCGGGATGCTCATTCTGAGTTCTTCTCCTATGTGAAATGTACTTAGTGTGATGGGGCCAATTCTCCCAAAATCTCAGAGATTAATACCTTAGTGCCAAAGTTGCATCACCATGAAAACAAAACGCTGCAGTCTACTTGAGATCATTTTTACTCTGATTAAAATTTTTATTGAAATCTCAGACGTTGCCAAGAAATAGTTTTCGCAACAGGGGAAAAAAATAGCTAACAAACAAATTCAACATGGGAGCTCCCTCTGCTGGTCTGCAGTAGGTTGATATGTTACAAACACATTCCCAGAGACAAATCTAATTTGCTGGAGAAGTGGACAAAAGACAGGTGTGTTGGGCTTTGCCTCAGGAGAGAAACACTAGAAGAAAAAAAAAATCCATGTCTCAAAATAGAGAATAACATTGCTGAGAAAAGTAAAACTATTTCAAAGCCTCTCCAAAGACATCATTACGACTCCCAAAGCAAAACTTATCCACTAAGGGGATATGCTCCGTTTGGGCCTTCCCACTCTGCTCTACCTCCAGTTAACAGATTCTTTTAGGCCTTCTGCGCGAAGGGTAGGTGCTGATTCCCTTGTCTTGGCCTCCAAGTCTCTTCTTTTAGGTTTCCCATCTACTTAGAGAAGAAAGATCCAAGGAATCACTGGAGTAAGGCCTTTCCAAAACTCCATTAAAGAATAAGTCTTTGGTGAGCCAGCACCTTGAGTGGAAAAAGCAAGACCTGGGAGCCAGGTGACCTGGGTCTAGTCAGGGTAGAGCCACTTGCGACTTTGGGTAACTCTCTCCATCTTCTCAGGTCTGTTTCCTCATCTGTAAAATGGGTCAGACCAGCTGATCTGTAAAGCCTCTACCAAGTCACTCTATTATTCTCATATTGGACAGATAAATTAAATAACCACATTTGTTCATGAATCTTTAGGATAAAGCATCTAGGGCTGCATTGGGAATGACTCCATACAAAAAGTGGTCTTGAACACATGGATCTCACGGATATAAGAGTTCTACCAAATCTAGGACCAACGGGCCAAACCCAAGTGGATTCCAGGTTGGGAAAGTCTCAAGATCAAGGAAGAACTCACAGGGGAGAGTGCCACTATGGGCAATGCGTCAAATGCCTGAGTCCATCTAATCTTGGCACTGTCTCTCCCATACTTACTTATATGGTGGCTTTCTCCCACCATATCCCCACAATTAATTCTGAATGAAGCAAGGGCAGATGTCATGGCCAACAGACACCATTCCTAGTACTTTCAGGTCACTGTCAACTCTTGTTATTCAGGGTAATGGTGAAAGGCTTTGTTGCTGACTAACCAAAGCCATGAATATTCAGAAGTCTATGCAAATTTACACTTATTTACACTTGCCTTAACTACCAATTGATCTGAATTTAGAAAGAGAAGACACATCATCCCCAGATGAGAGTTGGCAAACAAAAGGGGCTCTTTCAGTTGTTCCAGGTAATCTACAAACTTATTTGCAGCCTGCTCCAAACATCCTGATAGCTCAGCACAAGACAGCCACAATTTGATGCTTTATCCCTCTTCCCCTTTCCCTCCCATTACCTGTCAGTTGTGAGGTTCCCAAGCACTGACATGGAAAAAAGGTAGAAAAAGCCACAGGAGGAGAAGTAAAAGACACAGCTAATCCTGTTACTTTATTTCCTGTTCTGAGTACTCTACCATCACCATCTGCATTTTTTGCTCACTACTTGTACTACTTTTCCCCTCCTTCTCCCAACATAGAGGGCAGTCACTACTGGGGCCCAGGCACCAAGGACTTCTCTTTTCATTTGACTGCTTGGTGCCTGAACACACTGGAAGAGTCACCCCAGGAAGCCGGGTCATCCATGCACGCACAAAGCATTGATAACTCAGCTAAAAGAATGAAAAGATGTTCAGCCAATGACCATCCTGATGCCTTGGCTTTCAAAAACCCTCACTGGGGGATGCTTGTAGGTGGTCTTAATCAACATAGTGAATTCCATACAATAAAAGAGTTTTAAGTCAGAAGAAAGTTTTCTGGGAAACTGTTTATTTTATCCAGCCTTGTAAATAAATACTAGGCTAAACAAACAAAATTCTCACCTGTCTAGCCTGACAATTTTTTAAAAATCAGGGTGAATTACACATGCAGTAAGACAAATGAAACCTATATATGGTACATGCTTTCTATTTATTTGTTATTGGTCATCAGTCTTTGCAGGCCAAAGAATGAGTGGTTACCTCCAAAGGTCAATCTTTACATTACTACTACTTGCAATAAAAGCAAAGCTAAGAGGAACATTTTCTCCAAGGGGGGAGGAAGTGTTAGTATGTAGACAGTAATCTTTGTGGAGAAACAGGAAGCTTGTTTATAAAACTCAGGCTATTCTTAACCAAGAAAAGCAAGCTTGTCAGAATAGAGATCTCCACCTTGACCTGTAATTACATCCCAGACACTATATTGTACCTCATTTCTGTGGGGTTTCCTAAAAATGGAAAAAAGGAGCCCTTAATTGTCCCCATAAAATATAAATGCACAGTCTTCCCCTGGAAGCTTTCCCTTTGGACACTAGATTCTCAGTCTGAATGAAAGCAGAAATCTCTCAATGCACCAAAACACACACAGACGCACTTTAACTCCTGCTACTAGTGTACAGCTCTGTCTGCAGCCCTTCCACACGACAAGGCACATACGTCTATACTCTGGTGATGCCCTCTAGCTAGCTGGGAGCTGGGAGGTAACCTTGCCCCAGTCTCTCATGTGTGATATGAGGGTGAGATCATTAAGGAAGAGAGAGGTGCCATTTGGGGCAAACATCAGGCAGTGGGTGACATCATTGCTGTCAGATGATCCTCGTCAGTCCTGGAGGAGTGTCAGCTTGATTTAGAGGGAATCATTAATCTCTTGAAGGTGGATCTGTTAGCTGGATAGGTGTTAGTTACATGGTGTGCTCTGGGGAACCAGGTTTGAAAGGACTGGTGGTGAAGTGAGTGAAGTCGTGGCCGATGGGTATAAATTACCTGGGCATGCAGTGAAGCGGGATAGGTGAAAGCAGGAGGAGGTAGAGCAGGCGCTAACTCCGCTGGGTACAGAGGGTACGGGGCCCACACTTCAGGGCTACTGGGGTAAAGTGCAGGCACTGTGAGCTCATCTGCAAGAAAAGAATAAGGCAAGAGTTAGTGGTTACCAAACAGCTGGCTTCAAATCAGAAAACAAAACAATAACCCTGAGCCCCAATCAATGTCAGACGTCAAAGTACTCTTATTCTTTTAACAACCTGTTGGCTTTGGTCCCACAAATGCTAAGTGAGGGAATGAGAAATAAAAATAAAAAAAGCAACAAGCATCTGCTGCCTGTCTGGCCTGCTGGGATCTCAGGCCTGGACTCCGCCTTGGATATTCAGATGTCCTTCCAGCTGTAGCTGGGGAACTCAAGAACAGTGGGAATTTCCTGCATGAAACAGAAAATATGGTCCTCTGAGGAAATGGAAGAGAAAAGAAATCAATAAAATATATCCCATGAGAACCCACTGCAGAGCCTATGGGAGAACAATGGTTTAATGGCAGGAACCCAACAGAGCAGAAGAACTGTAAGACTTTCCTGCTGATTAGTACTACTGACAAATAAATCATGATCATCAAGTATTTTATGGGGCCTAACAACACTGTGACCATAGAGTATTCAAGATGTTACATATGCAGAGATTCAAAGTGAAAAACCTTGAGTATCCTGATTAAAGTTAAGTTCTACCAAGATGTAAACAGAAGCGCTTGTGGTTGCTGTTTACACTATTTTCTAGGGGGGAAAAGTTAGTTCTGTTGCCAACTGCCTGGTCTAAATGTTCCTCATGCAGCTCCAATTCCACTCAGGTCAAGCTGCAGTTAGCCAGATCGAAGGGTAAGTGCCCGGGCCTCCCAATATATCAGGAAGCAATCCATTAAAAGTAACAGCAAACACATGAGGGAGCTTCTCAGCAAAGGCAAAAATAACTTCAGTCAACAGTTATGAATTTGGACCCTGTGAAGCAGCAATCTCAATATGTGCTTTTATCACCTGTCAAAATCTGAAATCAAGTATGTGGAGGATGCTATCCAGGACTGCTGAGGGAGTCAGGAAAAGGTGACTCAATAAGGCCATTAGTAACTCTGCCATTCAGGACTTTCCAGAAGTCTACAGCACATGTGATCCAAGGTTAACAGAGTCACTTTACCCCTTCCCACCATCTAAGAAGCCATTCCAGGCCCGCTGTCTCCTTCATCCTTCTCATCCCAAAAAACTTTGGTTCTGGGTAGGACTGTCAATAAAGAAAGGAGGCTAGAAACAGAAAACTGCTTTGTTGCGTGGGATGTGGGGATGACTCTCTATAGAAAAACCTGAAAGGGACAGAGCCTGTGGGTGAATGTGGATCTGGTGGGCAGGGGGCAGGTGAGACTTTCTGTAGGCAGCCTGCATGGCAAGAGCTTCTCATGGTCAAGAGCTGATGGATCAGGCTGGGCATGGTGCCTCAAGCCTGTAACCCCAGCACTTTGGGGAGGCCGAGGTGAGAGGATTGCATGAGCCCAGGAGTTCAAGACCAGCCTGGGCAACTTGGCGAGATCTCAACTCTACAATAAATCAAAAAAAATTTAGCTGGGTGTGGTGGCTCTTGCCTGTAGTTCCAACTTCTTGGAAGGCTATGGCAGAGGATCACCTGAGCCCAGTAGGTTGAGGCTGCAGAGGTTGTGAGCATGCCACTTCACTCCAGCCTGGGTGAGAGTGAGACTCCAACTCAAAAAAAAAAAAAAAAAAAAAAGAGCTGACAGGTGACTACCCACTCAGAGAGCAGCTTGTACTCACTTGCAGATATAATGGGATCCCAACAATGGGGTTTTCATATACTGTGGCTGGCTGGCCTCCCTGACTCCCTCCTTCTCTCACCAAGGCAGTCAAAAGTTCCTTCTCAGAACTAGGTGGTGGAAATACAGACTGCCTGTGTATCTATGTTGAAGAGATGAGACTGTAAGAATGGACTGAGAGCTTCACTTGGATGGGAAACAACAGCATCATCAGTCTCTTAAAAATGGTCAGGTCCACATCATCTACTTCAAGTCATAGGGTTTGTAGGTGCCTGTAGTTCAAGACTCAGGAAATCCTTCAAAGGGGGACTGAGAGGATGTGTAACAGACCCCTGTGTTTCCTGTCGTGATGAAGCCATGCGATTTCCATTAGAACAACTCATGTGGGAGCCCAGCTAGTGGAAACTAACTGCTGCCAGAACTGATGCCTTGAATTTTAGGCAAACAACAATTCTCAGGAATGGCAAGCTATTATTGTTGCTGCTGTTGTTATTTTAGCTACCAGGCTATTTTAAGACATTCTGAGTCAAGCCCTAGTACCCAAATCTCTAGCCCATGCTTGTTCAAGCCCACTGTGATAGCAGAAGACTATAGAACTGATATATACAACTGACACAAATACAAACTGATAGGAGATCATCAGAGGAAATGTGCTTGACCTGCAGCCTGTCAGTGGTCCTTCCTCACCTCCTGCCCAACAGGAACTGGCTAATGGGGGTAGGGGATGGGGTGGTGGGGTGAGGAGAAGAGATGGAGTGGCCCGATTAGAGAGCACTTCCTTTAGAAAACTTTAAAATGAAATGAGTATGTCTTTTAAGATATCTGATCCTAAGGAGATAAGTAGTGGAGATAAGCTGGAATCAAGTTTCAATCTCAGCCTGACTGATGGAATTTATGAATTCCAGACCTTCCTATATTCTTATTCTAAAGCATTACTTCCCATTAGATCTATACTGATGCTTAAAGACAATTCACTGATTCAACATTTGCATAATATCTAGCCCGGCAGAATAAAGGATTTACTCTGAAATCCCCTAAACTCAAAGTTGCTGTAGGTAGTGCATATAGTAGGGGTAAACTTACACTTGATAAATCCCTTGATACATCTTATCATCTATCTCTCCCTTCCCTCCTCATGAAAGAATGTGAGTTACCATAAATGTGAGAGACATGTAGTATACCCAGGTCAGGATCACACCTGTAGAAAAGCAGTCTCCAGACACCTACCTACACTTCAGTAAGAGACTGGGAATGTTTCTAAAGCACACACTCTCCTTTGATGGAAGCAGGTATTGAGCAGAGTGAACTTTCTGCAATGTACATTTTTTGGTTGCTGATTTAGTCTTGAGAAAACTACAAAAGCAAAAGGGACAGGTTTTCTGCTGAGCAGGCCGCGGCAGGGGAGCAGCAAGGCTCCGACAGCTTTCACCTTCCCAAGTCGCTGCCCATCCTGCGCAAATTTCATAGGATGGGAAGGCTGAAAACAGAAGACAAAGATTGCTAGCCAAGGCTCACTGGGATGGACTGGAGTTCAGGGAGGGGGTGAGAGTCCTCTTGACAAAAGAGGCTCTTGACCACCCAGAGAGATCCAGGCCCCAGTGAGCAGAAAGAGGGCAGATCAAGAGGCCAAGGCTTTTTTGTCTGAGCCTAATCCTTGGCCTCCTGAGAGGCTGGGCAAATCCTTTCCCATTGCACCAAATCTGGCTACATCTTTTCTTTTTTGCACCTTTTGAGGACAATGTTGAGGGCTCACAATATACATCTGAATAGGCCTTTTTCTTAGCATGAGAATATACAACCAGAAGAGCTCAAATTGGATTCTGAAAAACAAGGCCTGGAAACTTCCAACTTCACCCTCTAATCTCTTTGAAAAGAAAGAATTACAGAGTGTCTGATGAAGGTTTAAGCCTAAAGAGCCAGGGAAGATCACCTAGTCTGCCTTTTCATTTTAGGTGAGGAAACAGATGCAGAAGGGTGAAACGTCCAGTCTCAGGTCATAAGGAAACAGAGATAAAGAGGAATGATTCTTAGAAACAATGACAGAGAAAGAGAGAAACAAGGAGACTCTTTAACGGACTTACATGTGGTCATAAACCAGAGCACAAGGTACAAGAATTTTAAATCAGCATTTATGATGTCTCCTGAAAATCTTTATATGGAAATATTCCCTGGTGACCTGATGATCACCATATCCTCAAACTCAACATTCTCCCTCCAATGTCCCCCTTCATTCCAGATTTCAGTAAAAGACGCCACCTTCTGAAAGGACAGACTGAGAGTGGGAAGCCATTTTTCATCTTGTTCTTAAACCCTGACACAATGATGAGAAAGTAGAAGCTATGCTTTTGGAGAAATGCACACTTTAGGTATAATTAACTTTACCGACTTTGTCTTTTTAGAAACAGACTTCCAGGTATCAGAGGGATCTCATAGTGGCAATCACGCTTGCCTAGAGTAAAGGGAACTTACAAGGCCTAAGACATCATGCACTGGGCAAGGACTGTAAAAGTCATGAAACTTGTAATTACAAAAGTTATTACTGTTCAGAGGGAGAGCAGGTGGGGATTTGATCTTCCAGTAAATTGGGTACTATCTACAAGGATCCCCCAAAGCTACCTATTGGGAATGCCTAGGAGATAAGGGGAGGTACATCCTCTATTAGGTCTAAGGAATGTCGTTTGGGAAGGTACAGGAGAATTAGAATCCTTATCACTCCCTTCTCTAAGGGGCATGATAATGTGGGTGGACATTAGTGGGTCTCTGTGTCAACAGGTTCTCCAGGACACCCACAGGTGGTTGATAAGGAAGTCACAGCAGTCACGTGCAAAATCTCCTTCAGATACAAGATCAGGACAGCCCAAATGACCACCCCACCTTTGGTCAAGGAATTTGTGAATTGCAAATATCTAACAAGTCTCTTGCACGAATCACCCCCCCCCCCCCCCCCCCCCCCAGGCTAACCTATGTGACACAAAGAAGCCCCACCATGGCAACAATCATGCGACTAACCCACCCATCTGCCTGCTGTCCATCACCTGAAATCATCAGTACCTGCACTTGTCTGCCCCTTTGTGATGATGTGGGAGCAGACCACCACCCAACCACCTTAATGATCCTCCCCCATCTAGGGGAATGGTTAAAAGGACTCAACCACAAGCAAACAGTGGCATTGCCTTGCTAGAGTCTGGTGGGGCCATGTGCTCTTTGAGCCATGGCTGTCGCCATGCTTCCTGGCTTTGGTCCCCCTCCCCCACCTTGGGGGAGGTGAATCTTCTCTCTTCCTTCTCTTTCTCTCTCTAATTTACTTTTAAATAAACTT